CTACGGCTTGCCCAAGGTCACACCAGCAGCTGCATGTGGAGAAGTGGGGAATCAAACCTGGTTCTCACAGATTAGAGTCTGCACACTTAACCACTACACCAAACAGGCAGCCTTAGGCTACTGTCTAGGGTGCCAGAGGGGAGTGTCAGGGGAACCCTCCCCCGTTCCAGTGCTCAGGCCAGCTGGCTGACCAGGCAACACTCTAGGAACCCCTCAAATCTCTATGGTCTTTACCATAGAGATTGCAGGGATTCGTACAGCATCACCCAGAAATGGCATCAACTTCATGGTTCCAATGCAATTCTTGCCACATCAGCAGTAAGTGAACTCCAAGTTGGGTTGGGACAGACTTGGAAGGTGGGCCAGCGGAGGCAGGGGGCTCTCGAGCTAGCCCGCCTAGGGTGCAAAAAGTCCTTAGGCCAGCCCTGATGGGGAAGCAAGACCACATACATTGGCCCCTTCACCTGTGCACACTGGGTTTTCTAAACAGAGCCAACGTACATACATATTTTACACACACAGCCTTTGTTTGCATGATCTAGATCTTGAAAGAAAACGCAGCGTGCAAACCCATTTTCTCTCCTACCCCATGTTGTCTATACACACATCTGCTGTGTGACTAGACAGGTATGTTTGTCAGAGAGCCAGGAATTAGCACAGTCCACTGATCAGTGCCAACACAACACCAAACAGGTTTGCCACTAATGCAACATGCAAAAAGCTCAAAGTGTTCCTGCGACCTTTTACAAGCTCAGCTTCTCAGCTATGCCTATGTCTGTGAAAGCAAGCCTCTTCTCTAGGCGGTGTTACACTCTACTACAAGTGGCCCAAGTGCCCCCAAACCCACAACATCTACCCGCGAAGACGCTGGTGTACCAACAAACAAAAGGTCAGGTGGTGATGGTGGGAAAACAAGGCTATTACCTGGCCCTCGGTACACAGGGAGCAAGCTGAGCCACGGTGGCAGTGCCCATGACTTGGGGGAGGGTGGCAGAGAACAGACCTTGAGTACTGAGCAAAGTGGCCAGGCATGTTCCTGTTTGGCCCACATGTCAGCGGTTGTTTACCCCTTCTTTAGCATGATCCAGAAACAGATCTTATGATGCACCTGTGCAGAAGAAGATATGGGTACGCACAGATAGCATCGGGCTTGAGTCTCAGCGGCTGGGATCACCAGGGTAACCAAGGCTTAGTTCCCACTCTGTTGATACCCGGACTGTCCACCCCATTCTCTTTATAGAAGTGAGTGGTTGTCATGCGCACTCCTATGCAGGAGACTAAAGGCATTTAACTTGGGGGCAAAGTTCTGGTGAGGAGAAAACCTGACCTCTGGGTGATCTGTGATTAGGGGATCTCCTAATATTTTTTTTATATATATGAAGATCAAAGATTGCAGCAGGAACAGATTCAGATTGGTGCTGGGGGGGATAAGCCACCTCCTATGCCATTTTCTAGCTCTCAGTCCCACCATCAACCCTGCTCCTGAAGCTGTGGTTTATCATACATGGGGGGAAGCATAAAGGCACCATAAGAATACCTGTATGTTTTTTTCCCTGTGGGGCAGACACCACAGTATAGGAGGGAGACTTTCAGTGCCATCATAAACAAACTTGCATTTCTCTGAGTTCATTAAAGCCACTGGGCCTTTACAACAGTTTAACTCTGTGGAGAATGGCCCTGTTACTATCAGGTTCTATACCCCACTTTACTCCCCAGTGGGGACCGCCAAAGCGACTTACATCAGTCTCCTCTCCTCCATTTTATCATCACAACAAGAGACTTGTGACTGAGGTAGTAGGTTAGGGTGACGTAGTAGGGCCCCGGTTACACGGGCCAGATATCGCGGGGGGGGGGAGGCGTGGCTGTTTGCCCCGGAGCGAACTATTGCGCAGCAGCCGGATCAAACGTCCCGCCGACGTCCCGTGGTTGGGGGGAGGTGCCGATCATACCTCACTCCTGCGGTGCGGCAAAGAAGCGGCGCCGCGGGGGTTGTGTTGGGTTTTTTTAACCCAAGTGTTTGCATGCGCCGTTGGGTGCTTGTGCGCACCCATGGAGACTTGACAAAAAAAAAGTTTTCGCGATGGGACATGGGCGGGCGCCAGATGCCACGAGCTAACACCAGAAACGTGATCTGACGCCCTCCCTTGCCCCACCGTTTCCGGAAACTAGTACCTCGGAGGTACTAGTTTTTTACAGCGCATCTTCAGAGTGAAGCCTCAGGTGAGCCACGGGAGCTCTACGCTTCCCAGATGTGGCGGGGAGATCGCGCCCGGAAAATCCACCTATCTTCCGTCTCTCTAGGGTGCCTAATGCTCAGTGTGACCGGGGCCTAGGTTAGGCTGAGACAGAGTGTGACTGGTCCAAGTTCACCCAGCAAAATTCCATGGCAGTGTGAGAATTCGAACCTGTCTCCCCCAGATCCTAGTCCAACACTCTGACGACTATACTAGGCCAGCGTCAGAAAAACAGCGCATAGGAAAAGGCCAACCTCAACGTCATATAGCCCCATGTTGATTCTCTCTTTCGCCTTCCGCCAGCAACATCCTTAAAAGAAGCAGGAGTACAGCCAGGGTGGAGTAGTGGTTTGAGTTGTGGGGGTAGGATCTGGGAGATCCAGGTTCAAATCCCCACTCTGCCATGGAAGCTAGCTAGGTGGCCTTGGGCCAGTCATACCGTCTTCGCCTCAACTACCTAACAGGGCTGTTGTGAGGCTAAAATGGAGGACAGGACAATGCATACTTCTTTCAGATCTCACTGGGGACAAAGGAAGGGGTACATAGGAAGTAAACTAACAAATAAATAAAACTCTCCTGCCTAAACAGTCAAGCCCTTTCTGGCTCTACAGCAGAGCCAGAGTCTCTGAAAACAGAGACTTTGGGAATCCATCTAGGGATCCTCACAACACAGAAAGCTTTCCTCTCTGCTCATACTTTCATGTTTTGCTTGGTGATGGTCACGGTCATGATGATGATGATGGTCATGGGTTCGAATCCCCATGGAAGCTTGCTGGGTGGCCATGAGCCAGTCACACTCTCTCAGCCTACCCTACCTCACAGGGTTATTGTGAGGGAAAAATGGAGGAGCGGAGAATGATTGGGTCCCCCTTGGGAAGAAAGGTGGGATATAAAAATCATTTGGTCCCTCTCATAGCAGAAAGTATTTAATTATTAAACCCCATTTACGTTTGCCTTTTAAAAAAAAAACCTGGAAGGTGCTCTGATTCTATGGGATGCAGTGAGATGTAATTGTTTTTAAAAATCAATCATCAATCAATAAAGACAGGAAGTACAGAGCAGGTGCTCCATTTAAAGTAGCATGTGCCAAACGCTTTTAAAATCCTGTATTACTTCGATTCTGGACAACAATTATAACCCAGATTTTAAACACAAGTGGGTACTCCTGTCCTATTACCTTTCCCGTCTCATTTTTATCTGACTTCTCCTTCAAGGAGCTGATCCGGAGTTCTCACCCTTCCCATTTCATCCTTACTACAGGTTGGTGAGGCTGAGACTGGCCCAAGGTCACCCAGTTGGCATCATGGGGCAAAGCAGGGAATCTGAACCCAGGTCTCCCCAGGTATGGCCTTTGACCCTCTAAACCCCATATTGACTTTCTAAAGAACACCGTTCCTTAAAAAGTACCTCAGGGTAACAAATCTCCATCGTGATCTCATGCCTGCGTTCATTATGTCTGATAAATAATAATGCTAATCATCAAAATATATAACATGTATACAGAGAGCTTTTCCTAAGTGCCTGGCATACATTATCTAAGTAATAAATCTTCCAGCAACCGTATGCAGCAGCACTAGTATTACTTTCCCCAGGCATTATGTTAAAAGTACTGCATTTTTTTTTTAAGTATATGGGGACTGGGGTTCTCTCTCTAAACACGCGGAGCGGTTATTCATCACTGTTATTAATATTGCATTTATTAGACTTTCAGCCCGCAGAACACGGTTTCTTCCTCTCCTGTGCATTAGCGGGAATGTTATAATGCATTCTCTGCACATAAGCAGGAAACACAAAAGCTCACATCCCCACCTGCCTTTGGGAAACAGCTGGCGTCACCGCTGAGAAATGGGGGACGAAGGGGAACTTCACACATGCTGGGCCGGCATGCTCCTGTCGAGGAAAACCTCACAGCCCGAAATCGAAATAAGAAAAAAGGGAAACAAAAGGTGAAATCTGATCGCCGTTTTATAAGGTTCCCATTGTGGGAAAACTGAGCCGAGCGCTTTCTTCAATAATCAGGCGGCGCTGGGGCCATAAAATTGGGGTTGGGGGTGTTAGCTGTGATTCCCTGGAGACGCTGCTGACAGGGCAAAACCCGTATATTTCGTCAGGTCAGAATTAGCATGCAACTCTGTATCACGTGTAACAGATTTTATTTACATATTTATCTACAGTGGCTTTACGGCTCCTTTCTGAGAAGAGCATAACAAAGCATGCCTAAAACATCTGAAAAACTTGCGAAAGAGAAAACCAAATCGCCACAGAGACTATTTCCTACGTGTGCCGTTTGCCGCATGCACACGCCGGGACTTTCCTCTGGGGATCTGCCACTCTGCGTGCCACCTGCCGCGCCAAAGGACTGTCTCTTCCCTTTTGTAAAACGCCACACGGCTTGCGAACCAGAGGCACTCTGCCCATGCTCAGAGGCACGTTCTTCTCCGTTGCCAGGCTAAACCTCTCCTTAAACAGGTTCTGTGGCCGAACGTGGCCCGTTCAGATTAAACCCCGATCCGCCCCCTTCATTTCAAAACGGAGGACTGCAGTCCAGAGGGCGCCCCAGAAATCCACGCCTGGCACCTCCAGGCAAGCGGGCAGCAGGTGACTCGCGGCTTGAAACCAAGGTGCGACCGGGCACGTACAAGCCCCGCTCGTTCCCCTTCCTTTCGCCTCCTGAGATTAGGGCAACCGCGGCTGACACTTTCCACCATGCTTCCAGATGGCAAGAAACCCCCAAAAAAGAAAGAAATCATAAAAGTATGCGATTACCTTTCCCCCAGATCCTCCTCGGCGACCCCCAACCCGCGATAAATCCACCAGCAGATCACAGACGCGGGGAAAGCGGTAAAATCCAAACGGCAGTAATCCACCCGGCTCTCTGCGGAGCGTCGGCTGGGCTCGGTAAATCCACTTGAGAACGGGCGTGAGCCAGCCGAGGGTGCCAATTAAGCAGCCGGGAGCGAGTCCCGCTCCGCTCCGCCGACGAGAGTGAGCGAGCGAGTCCTGCTCTGAAGTTGCAGCGCCAGTTGCTCCGGGCTGATCTCATCCAGCATTTGCATAGCTCGCCTTCTCCCACCCGGCCTCCCTCCCCTCTACACGCACGCTGGCGGGGCGGAGACTCGGGCGGCAGTGGCGAAGCCCCCTCCGGCCTTCCTTCTTCTCCCTCCCTTTCTGCTTTTCCTCGGCGAGCGGTCGCCCCCCTCGCGGCTTCCCACCGGCCTCTGAAATTAACTCACGCCTTTTTGCTCAGCTGTTGGCAGGCGGGGTTTTCTCTCTCCCTCGCCTTTCCCAAGAGAGGCCCCCCTCGCCTCGCTCGGGGTTGGTGGCGCTGGCGTAGGCAGGCAGGGAGGGAGAGGGAGGGAGGGAGAAGGGAGTCTGCCTGTGGAGCAGTCGAAAAGGGCAAGAGTCCAGTCGCACCTTAAGGACTAACAACATTTTGTGGCAGGGTAGGCGCTCTCCTCAGCCACTGCTCACTTGTACCCTGAGGGAAAGTTGGATCTCCAGGTCACTGTGTGACACAGAGTGTTGGACTGGATGGGCCTTTGGCCTGATCCAACATTGGCGTCTCTTATGTTCTTACGTTAGATCTCCCCTCCTCTTTCCCCCCTGGCTCTTTGTCTGGGCAGAAGGCAACCTGCAGAAGGGATTTGTTTTGTGAGGGAAGAGAAAGCCAGTTCTCAAAGACTGCTTTCCCCTTTGCCCTGGTCACGGATCGTTGCCAGGAGGAGGGGAGCTGCGTGGTCAGCACCCGAATCGGGGAGAGAGGAATAAAATAGGGACCTGTTATTTCTGTCTGCTAATCCCCTGCTCTTCTTGACAGAGTTTTCACAGCCACAGAAAAGACGGCCACCGATAATGGAGGTTTTGTTTCGCCATTCGCCAGGAGGGCTGAATGGAATGGAACCTCCATGTTTAGAAGCAGTGCACCCTGGAAACCCCAGCTGCTGGGGGCCCAACAGCAAGTGAATGCTGTTGCTTTCGTGCTGTGCTTGTCTAGTTCCCAGAGCGTCTGGCTGACCCTCTCGCATGCTGAGTTTGATGCAACTTTGGCCTCATCCAGCCTGGCTCTTTTTAGGTTCCCAAGGAGCTTACCATCTAAAAGACGAAAGTTAAAAGCCAGGCGGCTGGGCCTGAAGCCCACATTACAAAGGAGCATTTGGGTCTTCAACGCAGAAAACCAAAGGTACGCAGAGTTACACAAGCTAATCGCTCCTTAAGAACAAGTGCGGTGTGATACATTTTATTCATGTCAACCAAAACGCTGTAACACATTGTGCCAGCTTTCCAGTTCTTCAGAACTCTTCATCAAGCTGGAACTTAAAAAGGGGGGGGGGGAGACTTTCAAGCCATGGCCTTGACACCTCTTTATCAGCAAACTTGGGAAGTTCCCCATTAAAATGCACAGAAGCGCCTATCTATTTCAATGGGACGTACAAGGGGACTCCCCAGGGGAGAATACCCAAGGCTTAGATCTGTTTCTCTGCCCTTAATAGCAGCCAGCATTCATTGTCAAAGATACCTCTCGCTTCTTCTGGCAGGACCACCTCTGGCTGCAAACTGTACTTTGTTTTTTGCTTTGCTGTTTTTTCTTGTTCCGGGAGGCTGTACTGAGAACTGACTTTTCAGTAGCTTTCACTAAGGAGGAGGCTGCTTCAGTAGGTATGAAAATTTCACCCAGAATTAGGAAAATCTACAAATTATTTAACAGCAGGTTCCCCATGAATGCACTGGAAACTGTGAATGAGAAATTGCCATGCTTTCCACACTGGGTCAAGGATTCACAGCATCGCAGGACAGTTATTATTACACTCATCTTAGCCACAAGCATAGTTCTCTTTCCATGTGACTTCTGCACATGTGGGTTTTACTGTATGCACATGTACTGATCCGGAAAGCCATGATTACCACTGTGCACAGAGAGCCAAATAAATGGATACAGTCCAGTAGACATGCTCATTCTATGCCAGCAGCCATCATGCATGCCCTGCGTACCATCCTAGCTTTCTGGAACCACACAGAAGCAGCCTGGGATGAATAAGCCCTTGCCACATATATTATTTCCACGATAGTGACCCCACTGTAAAGGGAGTCTTTAGCCATGTGCAGTACTTGCCCCACACAGAAGAATGTTTAGCATCAGCACAGCAAAGGACTGGACTTATTATCAATGTTCCCTCTAATCCCCCCCACACACATACACAGTGGAGCAGTTTACATCCTGAGCAGAACATAACTGCTGTCATCTTTAAATAGGCAGTGCAAGACCCTGCGCGGCTCCAGACTGCTGCTGAGCGGGGCTTCCTGCATTTATGAGCGCACAGCTTAGAGGGAGCGCTGCTTAGGATCTACAGTCACGGTATACAGTCTGTCACTCAACTACAATGAATGCCTATTCTCCCCAAAGAATAGTTAGTTACACATTTTGAGCCTCCAGATGACTACGCACATAAAAACAAATTTCTTCTGTAAAGTCATCATCATCCTATATAGTCCTATTTATAAAAGGTATCTGAAGAAGTGAGCAGTGACTCAGGAAAGCTCACACCTGGCCACAGGTTTGGTTAGTCTTTAAGGTGCTCCTGGACTCTTGCTCTTTTTTACGGTACATAGCCTTTGTTAATGCTTGGAATGTTTTCCATACACTGTCATGATCTGTGTGTGTGTGGGGAAGTAGTTTCATATTATTCTCTCTAAGGCTGGGGTTAAAGTGATGACTTACATAGGTATGTGCAGATCTCCCCATAGGTCACTGGTTGAGCACATGCTTTGGCCGAGTCCTCAAAATCGAGTCAGAGAGAGCACTGGAAGATGTGTAACTGAATCTCCAATGGGATCTCTCTCTCTCTCTCTCTCTCTCTCTCTCTCTCTCTCTCTCTAAAAGCTGGGGAAGTTACACTATATGCTTTTGATTAAGGGCCCTCTAATCTTCAAAAGCTTGTGTTGGAATAAAATCGTATTAGTCTTTTAGGTGGTACAAAACTCTTGTTTTTATTTATCTTATTTTGCAACAGGCTATTATCCCATCCCTCTAGAATCACTGCTGTTTCGGGCAAGATGGGTAACCGTGGTAGTCTGTCTGTAGCAGTAGAAAAGAGCAAGAGTCCCGTAGCACCTCAGAGGCTAACAAAATCTGTGGCAGGGTAGGAGCTTTCATGAGTCACTGCAGTGACTCACAAAAACTCACACCCTGCCACCAGTTTTGTTAGTCTTTAAGGTGCATCTGGACTCTTGCTCTTTTCTACTGAATCACCCTGGGCTGATCATTTCCTGCCAGCCTAACCTACCTCATAGGGTTGTTGTGAAGATGAAATGGAGGAGGGAGAACCATGTATGCTGCCTTGACCTCCCGGGAGGCAATTTCTAACCACTAAGTGGAAGGGGAGGAATAGGGAAATGCTGAATCACTCTTCTGTCCAACACACAGAGGTATCGCTTTCTCCTAATTATAACATATCGGAATGGAATTTCTTCCCAGAAAGAAGCGGCTGATGGAATCCATCAAAGACTGTTTTTTTGTTGGCATGAAGTGAATTTCCAGGACTTGAGGTGAATCATGCTGTTATCAAACTCAGGATATCCTGGCTTCGGGGATTATAAAGATTCTGCTGCCATCCTGACCCTGGACTTTCCACAAGGGCTCTTTGGACTGGAAATTATAGAAGTGAGTGTAAAAACTTAACTGGGACAGAATCAGAAACTAAGGATGGCCAATAATCCCCCCCATGAGGACTGACGCTTTTTCTTGTGGATTAGTCTGAGACAGGGTTGCCGATTGCATAAAGAGAGAAAAGTCCTGTCCCTTTAATAGAGGCTTAATGGGATGTCATTTACATCCATGCCCTGAAAAACTTCAGTTGTCCATTTTCACATATTAAGCCTCTTTTAAAAAGGCAGGGCATTTCCCCTCCAGGAAAACCTCGCCTGAGTGGCTGCTTAGTGCCTTATTTTATTATTTCGAAAGTTGGTTAGTGTATTTCTCCCAATGTTTATTTATTTTTTCCACAAACAACAATATAACAAAAACAACAACATAAACATAAACAAAACAAAACACACACCAAACTGTTTTCATATACAACAAATTTTTGGAGTGTACATTTACACATTTATTTCCATCCATCTACTCATTTTTTGCCATCTTATTTGAAACATTTTTTCATCTTTTCTTGCTAGTATCATATTCACTTTATCCATTTCTTTTATTTCCATAATTTTCATAATTATTTCTTCTCTACTTGGTTGTTTCTCAGTTTTCCAACACTTAGCTATAAGGATTCTAGAGATAGTAAGTATGTATAATATCAAACATTGGTCATTGTATTTTATCCCGTCTGGTAGTATATTAAGCAAGCATATTTCTGACTCCAATTTCAGTTCCATTTCAGTTATTTTTGCTATTAGTTGATTTACCATTTTTGAAAATTTGCAAATCTTTTCACATCTCCACCATATATGATAATATGTTCCAACATTTTTGTTTTATTGTTGTTTGTGGAAAAAATAAATAAATATTGGGAGAAAGTTGGTTAGTGTATAGGAATGTTGTTCTATATACATGGAAAATGCAAGCCAGTCAGTGTTTGTAGGATAGATCCAGGGTAGTCGTGTTGGTCTGAAGCAGCAGAACAAACTCTTGAGTCTAGTGGCGCCTTTAAGAACAACAAAGTTTTATTCAAGGTATAAGCTTTCATGGGCATGCACACTTCTTCAGATTCTAGGAGCCACTCTGGCAAGAAAAGCTGTAAGCTTTAAAACCCGTCCCTCTAGCTCTCTTTCTTTAGAATTTATTTTGAATTAGCATTCATTTATACCCCAGCTTCCTCCCCAGTGGGGGGGCCCAAAGTGTCTTCCATCATTCACTTCTTCACAATTTTATCCTCACAACAACCCTGTGAGGTTGGTTAGGGTGAGAGGGTGTGACTGGCCCAAGGTCACCCAGCAAGCCTCCATAGCAGAGCAGGGGATCAAAACTGGGGCTCCCAGATCTAACTCTGACCGCTGCACCACACTGGCTGTCAGCATATCAGTCTGACCTGCAAGCTGCTGATGTTATTTAGCCCCATGCCTTGCAATCATCAACTTTATTTCCACACATTAATCTATTAAAGGCACAGGATATTTTCTCCCTGGACGGCTGCCAACCTTATTGG